CAGTTAGTGTGACAGACGAGGCTGGTTTGTTGTCACTGTCTCCAGGTTTGCTTTGTCAAGGTCTGTTTCCCTGTATTTTTGTTTCTGGCTTCCTGCTTTTCCCATTCACTTCCCAGCTGACAAGGTCACTGAGCAAATAAATCTGCTGGAATAAACGTTCTCACTCATGTGCCTTCATCAGTGTCACCAAGTGGCTCAGGTTGGTGTCCTTGTGTGCTCTCTTGTCTACAGCTTCTTCCCTTTTCTCGGTGCCCCTTTTTGTTTTGCACTGAGAAGGGTCCTTGACCAGATAACCCTTGAAGGAGCAAACCCCCTCCTTCCACATAGCCCCACCAACGGAGCTGCATTTCAGCCGGGTCAGAATCCATACGAGCCGCTGTATCAGCCAGGCCCTTCATGCACGGGGCCAGTCATGGGGATGTCTGCGTGGCTGCCTGTACCAAGGCTGCAAGAGAACCCACAGTGCAGCTTTGTCAAACCCTTGCTAGAAGGATGCTGGAGGTGGCTGAGGTAAAGGCTTGAGCTGGGAGAAGGGAGCGACAGGCCACATCTGCCTTCAAGACAAGGCAAGAAATAGCACCAGAGGGAAACCTAAGAGGCTACTCTGAGAGAACAGATTGGGTTAATCACAGACATCCGTGCAGAGGAAACATCTTGATGAAGGTTGAACTGTTTGTGGGGAGACCTGGGCTGTGGAGCTAGCCATGCCAATGCCCAGCCTGTTTTGGGCAGCAGCTGTGGTGAGTTCCTGTACTCTCTGTGAGCAGCCAAATCAGACCTAAAGAGAGGGCCTAAAGCCAGCAGCTGCTGAGGTCTTACACTCCTTAGGGAGACTCTGCACAGGCTGGGGACACATTTGGGATGTCGGTGAGCAAGCAGAGATCTTAGCCAGTGCAAAGAGCCTCAGCAAAGTGGTGGCTGCTGCACAAACCTCCCTCCCTCCCAGGCACCCCTGTGCTGCAGGGTGTGCCCTGTCCAGGGAGTATGTTACCACATCCAGCTCCTGCCACCAACACACAGGGAAATGCACACACCAGTGACCTACAGCCCCATGGTGGTCCTGCAACAGGTATGCTCAGCAGCACCACAGCCTCAAGAGACCTCTGACAACTGCACAACAACATTACACCAATTTAATCTGAAAAATAATCTTTATTATATATACAGGAGCACATGCTCCAGGAAGCTATAGGCAAAGTATTTGGTCTCCGAATTTTATCTAGTTGAGGAAGTCCACACAGACAATCCGGGGTAGTGCACAAATGGATATACAGTGCCAATGCTCTGGATCTGCCAGAGACCCAGGTGTTTTAACCACCATGATGAAATCAATCCATCCTCAGACAGGCTTTGTTCACCAGCCAGAGAATCTTAGTCTACTGGCAATATCAAAAGAACTACCTCCCTCCCATGGGAAAAATGTGACTGTTAACACTCCACCCAGGGGAAGAGGGAATCCTTCTGGCAAGTACTCTGAACAGAAGGACTGCTTGCTCTCAGGCAGGGAAATTGACTGAAACTACCTTCTTTGCATTCAGCATTCTTCCTTCAGAAGCAGGCAGTCTCAATTCCAGCACATATTCAGGAGTTCTTTACAAAACACAGCTTTCCATATATCTTGTAAGATCAAGGCCATTTACATCATTTTGCTTTAGATTCAAACAAGTCCAATGACCAGCACTAACTTTCTATGACAGGCGTTTCCTAAAGCAGAGATGCCAGAAGGTTTCAGAACTCCAGTCCCTTCCTCAGCAAAGGGGGACAGTTTATTACTGGAGCTTCTTCCTCTGATTTAGGCCCATAAAGCACATTATGGAGCCTTTCAACACAGCTTCTACAAGCTTCATCTTGTGACAAGGGTTCAGTGGGCAAGAATGCAGGAGCACGGCTGCCCTCATTTCAAGAGGTATGTGAGCACCTTCCATCGTTAGAGGTGCACAAATGCTATAAATAGCAAGGTTTAAAATCGCAGCTTAAAAAGTTTCTTGTTTCCTTTTCAACAACTAAACTACTGACATAATTTTACAGGCTTGTCAGGGCAGACATATGACTGGTTTTTGAAAGGAATGCTTAGCAGGTCCAGATATACCAACTTTGGCCCTTCTTCAACGGGAGGCACACCTGAGCAGGAAGCTCAATTTTGAAATTCAGTTGGTGTTCCTTCAAGTGTCCACAACTTTCTTAGGATATGTATTTCAGGCAGTAGTAAGCCACAGAGCAAATCGAAGGGATGATCTAGCTACAGGGTTTCCTCAGCCCAGCTCACCAATTCAGTCTAAATGGAGGAAGATCCTGCAGTTCCTAAAAGTGTTGCAGTATTGCAGTAACTTAGAGAATATTTTTCTTACTCCTACCACAGCACAATACTATATAAAATGAGTGGTGCTACCTCCAGGTACAGGAACAGATGCTGTCCTTAAAGTTTGTAGTGTGAGGAGCCTGGCTCAGAAAACACACTGCTCTTTTAAAACCACTGAAGGAATGTCAGATATTCTGGAAACAGATCCCAAGCATCAGCACTGGCTGCTGCACACTTGGACAGCAAGCAATCCAGGTGCAAGCTTCTGGGTGCAGCTGCTCCTTAAGGGCTGCACTGGACAAAGAAGGCAGCCGGGTGGAGCGCTACCCTGGTGACAGGGAATAGCAGCAGCACCTTGTTATGCAGAGGGCTGCAGCTCAGTGAGAGGCTGTCACTCCTGTTCACAGGTGGCCTGTAAAGCACAGGAAGAGCAGGACGTGGAGAGCAAGGAGATACATGGACACTAGCAGAGGCAAGTGGGTCCGGGAATGGAAGAGAGAGCGTAACAGGCGCCGTAATCCCAGGATATTCCGAGTCTGGAAGAGTAAGAGATACACCAGTCAGTACCAGGAATGGGTATGTCCCCTGCTGCCTTCACCCAGAGCTCTCCAGACCATGAAGATACGTTTGCTTAAGCTAATGAGCATGAACCTTCCCAGACCAAATTCACTGTCAGATTCGATCTCTAGAGCAAATCCTCAGTGAAATATTCCCCTTCCTCTGCTCTCTGCAGGTTTCTCATGAAGCAGCTCTCACTAATTAAACTTGAGAAAGGGCAAGAGAATGCAGAACATCTTCCTCTTACACTTGGTCCCTATGGATTCCCAGCCCACCTGAGTGAAACACAAACAAACAGATCAATGGTACTTTTCTGCCAGAGTCTGGAGCTACTAAGAATCCTGATTCTCTCTCTGGCCTAGAAGAAGAAAATTATTACTTATTTGTTGCTTGCTTTCACCCTTGAAGCTGAAAGGAGTTCTGAAGCTGTTGAACAAACTGCTGTAGAGTTACTCTACAGGAGCTCTTCCAGGAGTCCTCAGACAATATAACAGCTACTGGAAAAGTTCCAGTACAAAGGAAAACCTGTCGACTTTAGTAACGAAGCCCAAGCTTGTGCACAGAGTAGTATCCAGTTATGGCTCTTCCCGTAGTTCTTGAGAGCATCACCCCCCAACTTTTGAAGAGACCAGAGGACAAACTTCAGCAAATCATCCTCAGCAAAACAGGACAGATGACTGCCAGGCTGTCATTCAGCAGCTCTCCACTTTGGCTCCCAGCCTGACTGACCCAGGTTTGAAAGATGATGAGTGAGGAAAAACTGAGATGGTTGCTAAGCGAAAGCACAGACTCTCCAGACATGGCAGACGCTAGAGCCAGTACCAGATCAACTTCTGTGCACGAGATTGCACGTTGTTCACAGAGACTTTGGCAATTTTCTCACCACCGAGGCCTTGAATATCCCATAAGGAACCTGTGGCCACGTTTTAGGCACAGGCAATGCCAGCCTACGTTTTAGTGACCTCTGAAATTTATTCTGCTTATGCAGCCTGTGGCAGAGCCACGATCCAAACAATGTGGCTTTTGGCACAGAAAACAGAGCAAGAAAAGAGCAGAAACTTCCACAAATGCAAACAGATTTCAGTGTGCCTACAGAAAGATTTAGCAGCTATAAGGTCACAGTTTCCAGCTCACATTATTTTGCATCAGCCAAGGCTCACATCATTGACAGCTGTGAATGCAAATTCTTACTCTGCTGCTGAAATGATTATCCATGGAGTCAGTCAGCAAGGAATGCTCATGACCTGGAGTCATATCGATGCTAGCACTTAAGGAAGACGTCCACTCACTTGACTGCAACCTGCCACAAAAAACCATGAAATTAAATTCATTTTTTTATGATGCCCCAAATCAACATTGTAGACAGGCTTAGGAAAGGAGGAATTTCTTAAAAAAAGTAATCAACCATTGCAAGCAAGCCACAGCCTCACTTCACAAGAACTGGCTTCATTTGTACAACTGTAGTGCCTCCTGAGCTCAAGCAGAGCAGAAGGACTGGGTGATACAACTATCAGGAGTCCTCCTTCATCCAGACCAAGCATATTGTGCTCTCTATACAAGTTACACTCACGCAATGCCAGCCACCTCCTGTGCCCATAGTCACAGTTAGAGAGAAAAGTAAAACTTTCAAACTGCATGATGTGCAGATCACCATTCCTCTCCAGTGGAGAGGACAATTCAGTTGCCTGCCTTCTCAGTTGTCTACAACTGAAGGATAGCCTGAACACTAGGAAACATTTCTTCCACTGTGTGGTTGACTAAGCACTGGCATAGATTTCCCAGGGAGGCTGTGAAGTCTTCAACCTTGAAGATATTCACAACCCATCTGGACATAGTTCTGGGCAACTGGCTCTAGGAGGCCATTTTGAGCAGGTAGGTTGGACCAGATGACCTCCAGAGGTCCCTTCCTATCTCAACCATTCTGTGATTCTGGGACAGACACAGTGTAGCCTTTTCTATACCCTCCAGTGACATTCAACAGAAGGATGTAACAAAGCACAGATGAACACAGCCAGGATCATCATAGTTCTATGGTGATATTGCCTGTTTGCTCAGGCTCCCTCACCTTCTGATCTGATCCTGTGCTGCAGAGAGTGCCTCCTCTACAGCAAGACGACGGTCCCGTTCTTCCTCCAGCTGCTCCTCCAAATACCTCAGATCTTGCTTTGTGCTGCTATGTAAATGTTCCGTTTCAGACAATCTGTCACAAAATAACCAAGCATATGTCAAAAAAGGGCTAATTCATGGACTATTCTGTCTGTCTTGCTCACTGATGCAGTACGTGAACAGACTCCAATTCCCTTCCATTTCACATAGAAGACTTACTTATATTTTATTAACATATGCAAATTATTGGGAAAGCAAGAGATCAAGAGATCTCTTGAAGCTTCTGTGTCCAATCAAGAAGGATTCCCTTGGCTCTGTCTTCTGTGGCCCCACCCTCTGAAAATTATTTTGACAGGGTATGAGTGTTTTGCCAATGACTAGGCCTAACAGGAATGACACAGCCAGCAGGAAGGTAAACCAATAAGTGGATTGTATTGAGTATAGAAAGGACATTCCACGGACAATTTCTGGGGTAACGAACAAGTCAATCAGTTCACAAGCAATCGACATCACCCCCAACAATCCCAAAAAAGACATCGCCTGACCAACAATAGGTGGTACAAACAAAGAACCAAGGTTTCCCATGGATGGAATGGGAAACAGTCAGATCAGGAAGTTGAACAGATAAGATAAAGGTGCCTACATGGCAGCTCTCACCCTCCTAGCCCCTGTTTACAAAGGTCCAAGCTGACTGGGGCCCAGTTCCAGGGAGAGTCAGGAGGTCTTTCCTTAACCAGGAATCTCTGTGAAGTGCATCCACTCCACAGACAGACACTCCTGACTCCCTGCCAGTGGTCCCAGCTTTTATCCCCCAGCAGAGCCCTGACCTTTGTCAGCTCACTGCGGGACCCCTGGGGCTCATTTCCCTTCTGGCTCTCCCTGCAGGGCCGGCCGCACCCTGGGGGGAAGCTATAAGGCAAACTCACCACCTCTGTATGAAGGGCTGTGGGAATCACCCATATGTCAACCTTAATTCAGGGATCGGGATTCAAACCCCAGCATTTCAATGAGGAATCATATGCAAGATCTTAGTTCCAGAAGGCTACAAGGAATCACATGCTGGGTCTCAATTCCAGACACTCTCAGGCTAATGGCCTTGAGACCAGGACCGCTGGTTTACGTCAGCAGCTGCTGAGGACTCAGCCCATACAACCAAAGATGCTAGTTTGGCTGGTGATGGTCAGCTGGAATTGCTGCTGCACATCATCTCTTCTTCTGTTGAAGTTCTATCCATACAGATAACTAATGACAGTTTTCAAGCACATATACGTGTTCCTCCAATTGCACAAGGTCCTAGTGGGAAAGGAATTTTTCCAACGCTCTGACTGAGAATAACAGAAATAGGCTCATCACTAGCCTAAAGACCTCCATCAAAATCAAAATCATCCAAAGTAACAACCCCAAGTCTGTTTTCTCAGTCTTTCTTTACCTCATCTCCAAGTCCTGCAGCTCTGGTGTGTAACTGCCTCTCTGAGGCTCATTCTTTTCTTGAGGTGCTCCTGGAGCCGCATCTGTTGCAAACAACTCCTGAAAGAAAGCAAGAACATATGGCAGATGGCACTGAATGAAGAGGACAGAAAGTAGCTACAGGGCTTCAGAGTTAGTGGGATCCATCTGCAATAAGCATTTTCCTCCCTTACACCAAGAAGACCACCCTTACCATGCCTTTGTCCGCAGACTGCAGCTCCTGGAGCTGCCTCTCAAGCTCCAAGCAGCGGTGCAGAACTTCATTGTAGTGCTGATGACTCTCACAGATGCTCCGACTGCTACCACGAAGCTGGAGGGAGAGGGCATTTTTCTCCTCAAAGACCTGAGACAGCTGAGAAAATAACACAACTGCACAGTTCAGTAATTCATATTTTTGTGAAAAGAAAATTGTTCTCTGTATAACTACAGGTAAGAATTTTACTGAGGACATGGGAACTGCCACACTGCATGTTAACAACATCCAAAGACCAGTGGTAATCTCCAGCAATAGCTGGCAGCTAAGGTTTCCAAAACAGGAGTCCTAAAACCCAACACGATGTACAGAATAACATGCTTCCAAAACAAGATTTATAAAGTGCTGAGATTGCCCTAAACCTTTCAGAAATATCATCAATAAATTTTAATTTTATATTCTTGCTTTCTCCTTGAATGCAGCTCTCTTTCTGAACAATCTTTCTGAAGACTGCTAAATTTTGAGTCTTCCATTGCAATGTGGGAATCTGAATGCTTGTGATTTTGCACTGAAATACAAGACCACAGGCAGCACTGAAGATTACAATCATGACTTCCAAAGGAGGGACTTCCTTCAGGAGTCTAGAAAGAACTCACAACAGTAGAAACAGAACAACTTTCTTCACATAAACTCCCTCTGGCCCCTTTGTCTTGTCTCTCTCTTTCTCCTCAGCCCTTCTCCATTGTCCCCCACCTCCAATCTGTCCTTTTTCTCCCCTCTCTTCTTATAATCATAGAATGCATTGGGTGGGAAGGGACCTCTAAAGGCCAGCTAGTCCAACCCCCTACAATAAGCAGGGACATCTCTAGCTAGGTCAGGTTGCTCAGGGCCCCATCAAGCCTGACCTCGATGTCTCCAGGGATGGGGCCTCCACCGCATCTCTGGGTAACCTGTTCTAGTGATCAACTACCCTCATATTGAAGAACTTTTTCCTAATGTCTAGCCTAAATCTGCCCTTTTCTAGCTTAAAACCATTACCTCTTGTCCTGTCACTACAAATCCTTGAGAACAGATCTTCCCCTGTCTTCTTATGGGCCCCTTTCAGGTATTGGAAGGTCACTATAAGGTCCCCCTGGAGCTTTCTCTTCTCCAGGCTTCTCTCCCCTTTCTTTCCTCCCCTCTCCCTCTCCTCCTCTGTCCTCTTTCGTCCTCCCCCTCACTTCTCCCTCTGGTCTCTTTAGATAAAGTGGCAGGACAGTTTCCGATTCAGACACTACTGTCACTGATCCTCCTGAACATGATTCAGGTGTGCCCTGGAATAGCCCTCTGGTCCATTCAGGTCAGCTGACACCTCTCCCCTGCTCTTGCCCACCTCCAGCCTACTCACTAGAAGGAAAGCAGAGTGAGAAATGGAGGCAGGCTTAATGCTGTGCCAGTCCTGTTCAGCAACAGCTAATACCTTGGAGTGGTACCGACACAGCTTCAGTCACAAATCTGTACCACAGCACCTATGACATGAATTAACTCCATCCCAGCAAGCTCCAGTACACAGAGCTTGTAACAGCACCACCTACAGCGCTGACATCTGGAAAGTAAAGAGCTCTAAACTACACAAATGAACTACTACATCATGAAAAACTGACTGGACCACTGGACTCTTGAGGGATTGGAGCAGATGATGCCCATGAGCGCTGAGCTACTTTAGCCTGCTAAAGAGGAGGCTAAAGGGTCATCTGACAATAGTTTACAATTGAGTTAATGGAGTGATAAAGTGGAGAAAGCCAAACTCTCTTGATAGTGACAGAAAATGCAGTAAGGAGCCATAGCCAGACTGTGGCTTGGAAGAGTCAGACTAGATTTTATGAAAAACATTTGCATTAAAAGTGTAAAGCAGCACTGGCCAAAGGTCCAGAGCATTTCTGGAGTCTCTGTTCTTTCATCACTCAGCTATGCAAAGTCATGGCTGACCTGATCTAATGTTTGCAACAGTGCTGCTTTCAGCAACAGAAGGATATACTAGATCATCTACAGAAGACTCTTGTAATACTGCTGATTTTGTGTTATTTCACTAAATGCCCACAGAGTTATTCCTGCTCCTAAACCCTGTTCAAGTCTACCCTCTTCCCCACAATCCTCATCCCAAATTCTGCAAACAAGTACAGGATACAATCAGTACCTTGCTGTTTAACTGCTGAATTCTGAGCTCTTTCTGGTGCAGCTCTTTCAGGGTGTCACTTAGCTGAGCCTGGAGATGCTTTGTCTCCATTTCTAGGCTTGAAAAGTCCCCTCTCAGAACTTCTGCAGAAATCTGCCAGGGAAAGAACAAGTGAGAAATATTCTGCACACATGATAAACCACTCTCATGTTAGTCCTCTGTGTTTAGTATTCCAAGGTCAAAGCCCGACAGTATTCCTAGGCTTGGAACTTGATCTGCTTGAGCAAAAACAGAAAATGGGGAATACTAATACTAAAAGTCATCCAAAAATCCAAACAATTAGGAAAGATCACTGAACTGCACACACGAGGAACCTTATCAAAGTTTGTCTTAAAGCTGTCTACAATACAGGAAGGAAAAAAGTGTACGAATGAGAACAAGAAAACCAAACAAAAACCCAAAGCAATGCCCACACTGCTCTCACTGGACAGAGATTAAAAGGCTAGCATTGATGCATTCTCCTGGAAAGCATCACCTGCACACTGTTCTAGCTTTTCCTTTGCATCTATGCATGTGTGTGTCAAAGGGGTAAGGGAAGATTTCCTCCCTCCTCCACTGGCATAAGAACTTTGCACTGGAACATTTCAGATGTGGGCAGGAGAGTTTTTTCCTTGCTCCTAATGTAATGGCATTGTACATGCAGCAAGCAAGTCTCCTTCCACAGACCAAGCAAAAAATCTCAACATATTCCACTCCAGTTTTAGGGCTGTGATAGAGGAGAAAGAAGGCAGAAAGTGCCATGTTTAATCCTCAGCTTCTCTGGACTCAATTTAGGAGATATCCCTGTAGTCAGGAGAGATCCTGTAGATCCCTGCCACAGTAAAAACAGCAATGAAAATTCAATAGGACACTTAAAAATTAGAATGTAACACTAAAAGGAGAACTAAACCAGATCATCTTACATTCAAACACAGTGTAAGGGGCTATTCTAAACTAGCCAGAAAGAAAGACGCATTAGGGGCCATAAACTAAGGGAAGAGCACATCAGGGCATGACAGAGTTTTCTAAAGGTTCTCCATGATCCAAGCTGCATTGAAGAATAGTCCTTGGAGGCCACACAACAAAATTTGACACTGCAGTCTCTATGACCTGAACACAAGCCACGCAGGCTACTCTGGCTGAATTTCAGGCCTCACGGTGCCATGTAAAGAAGAATCTGTTTTTTCACCCACCTTTGTTTGGTACTGTTTGTCTACAATTTGAGACTTGCTGAGGGGTAGTCTCATTTCTTGTGTGATCCTTTGCAGATGGATCAGTTGCTTGTCTTTTTCCACTATGACCATCAGGTACTGCTCCTTTATGCTGCTGTTCTGCTTTTCCCAGACAGCTTTCTCTTGTCTGCCCAGTACAACAGAAAGGAAATTACCAGGAAGTTACCAGTATACTTACAAAATCCAGGTATCCAGCTCCAAATCAGCTGAGGATAATTCTATTTTTTATCATTGCCCCGTGTTAAAACTGTCGTAACTAAACCAAAACAAAACAATCCACAGAAGTACAAGAGCCTTATGGCAGGTTTAAGGAAGCACTCTCTATTTGCCTCAACACTGCAGATTCCATGAGATGTTCCATGCTCCCACTGTTTGTATTCCTGGGCATTATTTTGACCTAGCTGTACAGAGGTTTTGTCAGGCAAGTCATTAACAATGTCACTTGACATCACAACGTTATCACTGCCTCACACTCAAATACGCACCAGAACCCCACAGCACCGGTCCTAAGATGCAAACCTGGGGCCTTGGCTTCATTCATATTGTAGAAGCCAGACAGGAAATAAATCTCCTTTTCTTTTATGAGGGCATGAACAGAGTTTGTAAGCTGCTTCAGACTTTACAAGATCTGCAGTGTTATTTTAAGCGTCAGAGAGAGGGCAGGGGAAGGAGCACTACAAGTTTTTATATCATTTCAAAGATAAGCCATGTATCTTATCAAAGCAAAAGCAAAACAAAACAAAAAACAGCAAAACTGAACAACCTTTTAATCCATAACCATTCCTAGGTGAACCTCTGAAGTATCTGGAAGGGTTTTTTTCCCCATTTTTAGGACAGGTAATATTTGACTAGTTTTAGTCCAGTTGGAGATGACAATTTAACTGGACTTGAAACACAGAGTGTCTCGAGATAGAAGCCATAAGGCAAGTGAAATAAAGGGTCAGACAGTCAAAAAAAAAAAAAAAAGAGAATACTTTCTAAAGAATTATATCAGTGGGATAATGAAGGGTCTTCATCATTAGTTTGGAATGGAGAGTTGTGTAATAACATACATGAGCTCCAATACAAGAAACAAGCTGTTTCCTCTCAAACAGATCATATTTGCCACCGCTGGACGAATGAAATAAAAAAGTCATTGATATATTTCACACAGGCATTTCCTTCTAATATGTTGGGCTGTAACCCTTCCCCCTAGACCTGGGGCAGAAGCTGAACCACGGAGACTTGTGAGCACTCCCAACCAGGCCAAACAGACCTGGTGAGAGCAGACACGGGGGTGGGGTGGGGAGGGGCTGGGCTGAAGTTCTGGCTGCTGGCTTCTCCAACAACTGCTGCCAACAACTGTTCTTTGATTAAAGCAACAGCTCATTTGCATCTCTGAGGCAGTAAGAAGACAGACAATTCTCACCTAAGCTGCTGGAGCTCCTGCTGGTAGAAAAGATTTTCTTGCTTCAGCTGTTCTTGGAGATGGTGCTGCTTATCTGCATCTTGCTGATATTCCTGCAGTTGTGCTTTTAAGCGAGAATTTTCAGCTGATTCTACCCCGACGAGTATGTACTGCTGCTGCAGATTCTTCAGCTCTCTTACCTTTAAAGGAAAAAATCAGTGTGACAAATGAGCAGGCAGCTTCGTTTCTTACTTCTAAGTGCTCAAGAGCACTTCTTGCTGCGGCATGCCTAGCTAGTGGGGAGCTTTTGTTGGAAAAAAAAGAGTTTACCACCTTTGGAAGAAGGGGCAGGGAACTCAAGAAGAGTACGGGATCTAGTTAGGTCATGCAGAGAGAACATCAGAAAGGCAAAAGTCCAGCTAGAGCTCAGTCTGGCCACTGCTGCAAGAGATAATAAAAAAAAAAAAAATTACCAGTACATTAACAAAAAAAGAGCCAAGGAGAATCTCCACCTTTACTGCATGGGGGGAGGAACAGGGCAGGGGAGAGCACAGACAGGGGGGTGACACTTTGCCACCAAGGATGAGGAAAAGGCAGAGGTACTTAATGCCTTCTTTGCCTCAGTCTTCAATAGTCAGACCAGTTATCCTCATGGTATTCTGCCCCCCGAGTTGGAAGACAGGGACCAGACAGAGAGCAGAATGAACCCCAGATAATCCCAGAGGAATAACAGCTACACCACCTGGACACTGACAAGTCTATGGGGCCAGATGTGATAGAATAGAAAGGAACGTGAGGAATGTGTCTTCACAATAAGGGACGACAAGGGAACAGTTTGTAAGGTGGAGAGGTGCAATCACTGATGCTCCACGGTGATAGCTTGGTCACTTCGCATATAAAAGAAACGAACAAGAAGGTAGGAAGAACCTGAAAACTTGAATGAGAACTAAAAAAACCCCAGATGACTACCTCAAGAGGTCTGGATAAACCTAAACTTTTGATCTTTAGGAACCAGGACCCAGGACCTGTGCGTAATAGACTTATACAGAGTCATAAAATGTCTGGGCTGGAAGGGACCTCCAAAGGTCATCTAGTCCAACCCCCCCACAATAAGCAGGGACATCTAGAACTAGATCAAGCTACTCAAAGCTGCATCCAGCCTGATCTTGAATGTGCCCAGGGATGGGGCCTCCACCACCTGTCTGGGCAACCTATTCCAGGGATCTATCACCCTCAGACTGAAGAACTTTTCCTAACATCTAGCCTAAATCTACCCTTTTCTAGCTTAAAGCCATTACCCCTCATCCAGTCACTCCAAACCCTTGTGAACAGTCCCTCCCCTGCTTTCCTGTAGCCCCTTTCAGGCACTGGAAGGTCACTGTAAGGTCCCCCTGGAGCCTCCTGTTCTCCAGGCTGAACAGCCCCAACTCCCTCAGCCTGGCCTCACAGCAGAGCTGCTTCAGCCCTCCCAGCATTGCTGTGGCTCTCCCCTGGACATGCTCCATCATGTCCACGTCCTTCTGGTGCTGGGGGCTCCAGAGCTGGACACAGACTCCAGGTGAGGTCTCACAGGGCAGAGCAGAGCAGCAGGATCCCCTCTCTCCATCTGCTGCCCACGCTGATTTGATGCAGCCCAGGACTCGACTGGCTTCTGGGCTGCTGCTGCAATTGGTGGCTTGTGTCCAGCTTCTCATTTACTAGTACCCCCAAATCTTTCTCCAGTGGGCTGCTTTCTAACGTGTCCTCTCCCAGCCTGTATTGGTAATGTTGGTTACCCTTCTCCAGGTGCAGGACCCTGCACTTGGTCTTGCTGAACTTCTCCTCCCAGGGGAGGCACAAAATGAAGTTAATGAGACATGGGATGTATGATGAGAAGGGGGGTACATGTTGAGGGGGATACGCAGTAGGGGTACCGGGCAGTCTGTACACTCTGAGTACCTCAGCCAACGGGGAAAGGAGGAGGGAAATTTGAGGCTGAGAAATTAGGATTAAAAGGTGGCTGTATTCCCCAGCAAAACTGAGAGACCCCCAGCAGGATATGCCCATGCACTCTCCCTTTATTCAAATAAAGTATATTTTTTTACAAGACTCCTCTCTCTCTTTGTGAACATCAACTTCTGACAATGGCATTTTCTGCACATATGGGATTCACTAAGAGTGCTGAGGGAGCTGGTGGAGGAACTGGCCAAGCCTCTCCCCATCGTTTACCAGCAGTCCTGGTTACGGGGAGGTCCCGGATGCCTGGGGGCTTGCCAGTGTGCTGCCCATCTATAGGAAGGGGCATGAAAAGGATCCAGGGAACTACAGGCCTGTCAGCCTGACCCCGGTACCGCGGAAGATGAAGGGGCAGCTCACCTTGAGTGCGCTCACACGGCCGTGCAGGAGCCAGAGCCAGAGGGTCAGGCCCAGCCAGCACGGGCTCACAAAAGGCAGGTCCTGTCTGACCAACCTGTCTCCTTCCTTGACCAGGTGACACACCTAGGGAAAGGCTGTGGGCGTTGTCTATCTGCACTTTAGTAAAAGGCCTCTGACACCGTCTTCCACAGCATTCTGCTAGAGAAGCTGGTAGCTCATGGCACATACACGTGGACTCTTTGCTGAGTTAAAAATTGGCTGGATGGCTGTGAAATATATTCACTTGATTCGTGTCAAAAAAAAATCATATTGGGGCAGGATGGTGAGGTGTGATTCTGTTGGTTTTGTAGAGGTACGGGCCTGGGGAAAACCAGGGTGAATAGTTCTGGTTTCTTGTTTGTTGTCACTTGGGTGTTGATGTGCTGGCTTGAACTGATTCTGTTAATGGGCACTTAATGTTAAACAAAGGGGAGTTTGTAAAGCTCCTGTGTGAAGCCTGGGGCCACCTAAAGAATGAGCCGAGGAAGATTACTGACTTCAGCCAGGACCACCAGGTTGGAGCGAAGACGACCCCAAGAGCATGCTTCAAAGAAGACCTACCTATTATTGGAATTAATTTACACAGACCCACCTGTTAATGGATCTGTATTAGCAGGGACAGTAAAAGCCGGGACAGGGACTGTATGGGGTGCCTCTTGGTCGAGCAGGGTCTCCTGGCACACCCAGCGCTGTTTGCTTGCCTCTGTTCATTTAATAAAGTTTAAATTTAATTGGAATCTGGTTTTATGCTACATTATTTCTCACAATGGCTGAGCCCAGAGAGTTGTGGTGAAAGGAGTTAGATCCAGTTGCTTGCTGGACACAAGTGGTGTCCCCAGCGCTCAGTTTTGGGGCCAGTCTTGTTAAATAATGATCTGGATGCTGGGATCTAGTGCACCCTTGCAGACGACACCAAATTGAGCAGCAGGTTTTGACCTGCTCAAGGGTCAAGAGGCTCTCCAGAGGGATCTGGACAGGTTGGATCGACAGGCTGAGGTCAACCATATGAGGTTTAACAAAGCCAAGTGCTGGGTCCTGCGCTTGGGTCACAATAACCCCAAGCAACACTACAGGAGGAGTGGCTGGAGAGCTGCCTGGC